TCTAATTGAGCTAGAACGTTAGACTTGGTGTAGGTGTTTATTAGGTGAATGTCTTGATGGAGTTCGATGATAAACATTGTCAGCTTAAGGTAAGCAGAGATAAGCAATCTGATTGGTTGATGTTTTCGGGTTAATAAGTTTGGTTTCAATTAAGTGAGAGTGATGAAACTCCGAGTATAGATTCATTATATCATTATATCATAAGTTTGGTGATCAGAGCTAAGGATCGATAAGCAATTTGATTGATCAAGACTTTGGAACATAACAACTCTGCTTTTAATTGATGTTGATGTTCATTAGGTGAATGTCTTGCAGGGGCGAGGGGCCAAAAATTAGTGGTGGGGGCAGTCCATGCGCAAGGGCACTATTGGTAAAGATGGTGGTTCGGGGGTCCTCCCCCGAAATTGTTTGAAAACTAGACGCTCTAAAACGCACTCTGTGGGTATATTCAGCATCATTTTCTGGAAAACAATTCTAATCCCTGAGGCAGCAAATGATACGAAATCTAATCTAAAGACAAATCTTCAAGTCACCGTTCACGATTTATTCTCTCATGTACACTACAAGAATTAAAAATATTTACACTGCTGAGATTCCAGCTCCTCCTCCATTCCCAGTAGTGTTCGGAGACTACGTAAAGTCTTTGAGCAAAATGTGTATTCAATTGGATACACAAATGTACAGGCCTACAAATCTTTTAATTTATATAAACTAAAACATATAACATTTTACTGTATTATTCATTGGTGATTAAAAATCTGATGGTAAAGGCGAATTTTCCCACGTTAAAATTCAAAAATGGCGACCACATTGAAATAATAATATTTATATTGTTCCCATAGCTATTTTAATGATTCACATAGTACCAGTTGTATTATATTATCTATATTGAATGTGACAGTGGTGATGTTATGTTAGAAATTACGTGTTTGGATTTTTATAATTTGCTCAAAGGTTTAAAAAGGCAATCACTTGTAGCCCTGAAAGAAGCCGATACATTATTACAGCTATACAAGAACCAGAAGAGCAATCCGGATCACATGTAACGTCCAAATACTTTTCTTCTTGTATCCGGATTGTTCTGTAAGAATTTTTGCGCGGTAACTAGGGGTTCAAATTTCTCAAGCAGGTCACTGTGAACATCGCATAGTAGCAGATGGTTTAGTCGCGATTGTTTCATCGTACTGCTTAACCCAGTCTTTAGGCGTCTTAGGGCACTGAAAGATCTTTCCGCACTGCACTAGCTGGGAGTCGAATGAGTCGAAGTAATCGTTCAACTTGTGCAAACATCTTCCGAACATCAGGGCTCATTGATTTGAATATTTCACGAAATTCACTGATGTAGGTACCTGAATAGTTTCGCTTAAAAAAGCCAAGTTCATAATCTAAATCAGGAGATAGTTCAGGGTATCGTCCAACAATATCTACATTGTATTTACCCGTCAAAAGCATATCTGTTAGTTTTGCATATTCAATCAGATCGGTCGACGTCTCAGCTTACTGTACTCCAAAAAATAGAGGGTTCGAGTCTTAAATTTTAGATTTAATTTCCTATATTCCAAAGAGAGAGATAGAAACCAACCTTTAAAAATACGTTTATTTAGTATGGCAGCAAATCTAGCAATGAAGGGTTCCCCTGATATACAAACTTAATCCTTTAGTTAGGTGATTTATCATCCAGTATACTGTATACCAGATAAAAACAAAATCTCAGGTATTCCTTTAATACCCAGCGTATCAGATATGCACACCTACATGATATACATATTATTATAATCCCTATGGAATATTTTAATTATTTACTGTTATAATATGAATTATCACTTATTCCCTGATAAATAAAAATCGGTCACCGGGTGCAGCTGTACAACTTCAAGGACCCTGGCCTCAAGTGCCTGGGACCAACTCTACACTTTCTGAAATGTCAATAAAAGCTCTGGAATGATTTCAATTAAAAAAATAAACAGTAAGCAAAACATCGGAAATAAGTGGTGGGGACACAGTATATCATGTCCCCACCACTAAAAACATTGGTGGGGACGCGTCCCGGTGTCCCCGGACGTCCGTCCACAATTTGTAGACACTCTACAGGTCATAATGTTTATCCGATTTTGACGAAACTTGAAATATAGATCTATCTCCCAAAGATCTCGGTCCCTTCCGATACTGGCATGTATCGGACCATAACTTCATGGATTATGACCCCTGGTTGTACGAAAATTCACGTTTATAGATTGTGGACACTCTAGATTTTGATGCATCTTGAAATGTATGTTTATAACCCAAAGATCTTAATTCCTGTCGATATTCGCCTGAATTATAGCCCTGATTGTACGAAAAATCGCGTTTTTAGCTTGTGGTCCCTCTAGAGGTCACACTTATTATCCGATTTAAAAAAACGTTCGAATATATCACCGTTACACACGTTATGTCAGTTGAGTTCGAATTTCGTGAAAATCGGACCAAAACTGCCGGACAAAATGGCCGCCCCGCGTACGCAAATAGTGTAGACTTATGGTATATCAAGGACACAATTTTAATCCGCTTTTGATGAATCTTGAAATTCATATTTATAACCCACAGATCTTGGTTCACTTCCATATGCCCGTATATCGGATCATAATTTCCTGGATTATGGCCCCTGATTGTTCGAAAAATCGCATTTTTAGCTTGTGGACCCGCTAGAAGTCACAATTTATATTCAGTTTTAAAAACCGTTTAAATATATCACTGTTACACATCAATGAAGGTCGAGTTTGAATTTCGTAAAAATCTGACCGTAACTGCCAGACAAAATGGCCGCTCCTTGTATGGAAATAGTGTAAAAGTATGTAATACCACATATTCCTGAAGCAACGACCTGAGAAATTCCTCTCTGGCCATTGCTGGATTGGCTTCTGATACTTGAAATCGTGAGTCATGACGTAACGTTATGTAAACATATTTGCCCTGTTTAAAACCTAATGATGTTGTTACGCAGTTAGCTATAATTGGTTGTTAATTGGACTATTGATCAGTCATAATTTGGAACCGAAATTTGCTTTCTTTACAGCAGTGTTAAGTGGGATTAGATCTAATTAAACAAAACACTGCGTGGAGTATGTGTAGTACCATGGGTCTTTTGTCAGATGTGGAGAGCGGGTCGTCAAATCCGGTCGCCACATCCTACGTTCGACACATGCATCCCTTCTTACTACATATCTTAGTAGTCTTGTGATCGTCTAGTATTTTCACTTGTTGTCTTTGCTTCCACTTCACGTTGTGTATTTACTTCTTACTATTTTCCTAAGACGTCTGTCTTTCCAGGAATAACAATACAACAGTTCGTTTTTACATTTTATATATCATAGCTGCATACATAGATACAAGCATAGTATAGATTACAATACTAACGTCATTCTCTCAAACCTCATCCAGCCAGATTTAAGTACAAATATGTGAATCTACTAACTTGCCAGAGATATTAATTAATACAATATAATGCTATCTTTAATTTAAGGAGCGAAAATTCTAGCAAAGTCTTAAATATGGTAATACCAAGGTTGTGGACACTCTAGAAGTCACAATTTTTTATCCGATTTTGATGAAACTTGAAAGGTATTTTTATATATATGTTTGATATTAATTTGCGCATATCGGGCCGTAATTAGGCCTACTTCCTGGATTAGGGCCCCTGTTTGTACGAAAAATCACATTTTTAGTTTTTGGACCCTCCAGAGGTCACAATTTTATCCAATTTAAAAAAAACCGTTAAATTGATCACCGTACACCCTAATGACGGTTGAGTTCCAATTTCGTGAAAATCGGACCAAAACTGCCTGACAAAATGGCGGCTCCTTCTACGCAAATAGTATAAAGGTATGTCATACCAAGGTTGTGGACCCTCTAGAAGTCACAATTGTTATCAGATTTTGATGAAACTTAAACAAATGTTTATGTCCCAAAGATCTCGGTTCCTGTCGCTATTTGCGTATATCAGAATGTAACTTCTTGGATTATGACCCCTGATTGTACGAAAAATCGTCTTTTTTAGCTTGTGGATTCTCTAGAGGTCACAATTGTTTTTTACCCGATTTTAAAATCCGTTTAAATATATCATCATAATGAAGGTTGAATTCTAATTTCGGGGAAATGGAAACTAAACTGTCTGACAAAATGGCCACTCTTTGTACGCAAATTGTGTAAAAGTATGTAATACAAAGGTTGTGGACCTTCTAGAAGTCACAATTTTTATCCGATTTTGATGAAACTTAAAATATATGTTTATGTCCTAAAGATCTCAGTTGCTGTCGATATTTGCGCATATCAGACCATAACTTTCTGGATTATGGCCCTTGATTGTACGAAAAATCGCTTTTGTTTTTAGCTTGTTCTCTATCCATCTCTTGCAAAATGTGGGCGTATCTTGCCTGGCAACCACTCGTTTTAAATTATTGGGGGTGGGGGCAAACTGGGAGAGAGAGAGAGAGAGAGAGAGAGAGATTTTAACGTCCACTTGACATAAACTAGGTAATTTCAGGACTAACACGGCCCAATTTTATTTAGCAGTGGGATCGGGGACCCGGAGGAAACACACGTGTCACATACAACCGGGGAATCGAAACCACGCCAGCTGACTCAATGACAGGCCACCTAATGATACAACGTGTACGCGCTAACTCCCCCCACCCATCGTTTTAAGATAATTGAAACCCTACCGATTTCCTCAAATCCTAATATTTAACTTCTAATATTTAACTAACTTCAATCCTGAATTGGCAAGTGCGTGAGACCAATAATAGTTTTCAGGTTTAGAGACGTAGTCAGGGGACATAACATATCTTTGAAATGTAAACAAATTGGCCTCTTGTTTACATCAAAAAAGAGGTTTTTTCCAGGCATTTGATGCAAAAACATCGAAAAATAATCAGCACTAATGTAAAAGATATAGGACAGTGTTATGATCTATTCTGTGCTGTTATTTATTTCATATTCGGTTAATATCTGTAATTTATAAATAGCAAATTGACCCCACTTGACCTTATAATTCAATGCCCTTTCAGGTGAAGGTCAGTAGAATCTCGCTTTGTCTCGCGCACTTGCTTTAAGACGAGATGTAGGAAACCATTTGATCAGTAGCAACACCAAAATTATTTGTTTTGAGCACCAATTTGCGTTGTTAAAAGCGTGTTATTCTGTGTTATGAAATCGGCCTAATTGATGTATGGAGTTTATGCTAGTAATTGAGCTTGTGAATGGAGTAAAAAGTAGTGTTACACAGGAAATATTTGTGGATCTAAATCACTGTGTCAACTGTATCTACGGACTTGTCAAAAGAATTGCTGAAGCCATGTTCTCTATGCGTAATATAGATCTATGATTTAGATTTCAGATACTGCTTGCGGTAGACCCGCTTACTAGCCGTAAATTTACATCATTATGTCTGCTAAAGTAACAGATCGCATCGATCCATTTACCAACAAGGTTTCTATAAAATCTAAGAAGCAGAAACGGTCGCAGGGATCGTCTCATTATCGGACTAAAAATGCTCCCGAATTGCAACCATTGCCTCATTTAAAAGGTAAGAAAAATGACAGCTAAATAAAAATGGTAGAAATATATTTTCATGCTTAGTTGCGTCTTAATTAATTGCTTATGATATATAAATGTCATAATTGTGATGAAAAAAGAAAGCACAAATCGTAAAACTAATATATGATCGAGAAATCTCGGTCGATTCGACATATTATCGTTGGCCGGCTATCGTCTGTTTCAAGTTTCAGCACCACGCCATAGTTGAGCGATTTGGTTTTTCATTTTACCAGCTAAATATAGCACTCGACCTACTTTGACATGTGGGTGTGCAATGTGACATCAGAATAGTCAAAGGAATGTTGAAGTAAAGTCTATTCCCTACTATTTCTGTAATTTACAGGAAGTTATGAAAAGCTAAACTTGTATAGACAGTTTGACACACTAAATGGAAACAGAAATGAAATTTGATGCCACACGCCATATTGCTTTGATGTTGCAACATAGTTATCATTCCTTCTATGTTCATATCAATATTCTACATAAAACATTAAATACCATTATAATTCCTCACACTAATTATCAAATTAGTTTGTGTTTATTTTTTTTAAATAATGGAAATAAATCATTTAATATTTAATTTGTGATATTATAATTTATACTGTTGGGAATTGACTTTACTGGAATCTTTCTAGTATTATGCTTGCCTCAAATGGCTCATTTTAAAGAATTTTTCTAATTCAGTATTTGAATGAATGTATTTGAAATTGTGTAAGCTTAGCTCACTTACACAAATGAACTGAAATGGGGTTTAACACCCTACTGTTATGCATCAAATGGATTAATAAACTAAAGACAAGAGAGAGAGAGAAAAGGGGTTTAACATCCACTCAACACAAACCAGGTCATTTCGGGACTAACATATGGTTTAATTTTGTTTCAATAATTCACTTGTGCGTACGTAGGGGTCTTTAGCAGTGGGAGGAAACCGGAGGACCCGGAGAAAACCCACGAGATTGGACAGACGACCCTACTCTTGTCACATACAACAGGGGATTCAAAACCACACCAGTTGACTCAGTGACAGGCCTTATGATACAGCGTGCGCGAAGCGTGCTAACCATTCGGCTATCTAACCCCCCAACTAAAGACAAACATACATAAATGACTGTATGCCATGCAGTGTGCTGTAAAGAAATTTTGTCCTTGCTATAGGAGCTTTTGCGGGTTTCCATTTTGACATCATTTTCGGTCGTGAGCAGTGCCTGGCCTTATGTTCTCACAGAAACTTACAGTCCGTTACATGTTTTTGATTGAAAATACCCTTGTACAAATAGCATGTATTACTTTAAAATGGAATTGGCAACTATTTCCATTTAGGTAAAAGGTTTACCGACCAGTACCAGAATTTGATATTTATGAGACTATTATGTTTTTCTTTATTTTAGAAGGGCGAATCCGTGGTTATAAGTCTCCGAATGACCCCAATACATAAATATCATCTTAATGTGTTTCACAGAACCACATGTCACATCACTAATCCACTATTATTTACTCTGGTGCTCTGTTTCCAAGCATTTTACAACCAAACAGATGTTATCTATTAATTTCAGGACAATTAAACAAATGGTTTATCCTATTGACATTCAACGGCCGACTGGTTACATGTGAGGGTGATATATACATGTATCGTCCACTATATAGCATGCTACCGGCGCCCTATCAGTACTCTATACACGGTAGTGACGGTACTACAATGCTACATGTTGGTCATTGAGGTTATGGATCTAAAAATAATTCCAGTCAATAATACTATAAAGTATGCAGTATGCAAATAGGATTGTTTGCCTTCGTGATGCTGTTCCTGCGTTGAGACGGCTCTAACCAATAATAAAATTGTTGTTTGTTGCACAGAGCCAAAATTCAGTCATTTTTATAAAATTTCATCTTGATGGAATATGAATAACAGAGAAAATAAAATGATGATTATGTCGAATCAGTGAATAATTTTTTTAAAACCTTTTTGAGTTTTTTTTTACTAATTATTTTAAATATATAGATAGACATTGTCGGGGTTCAACTTTTGGTACTTGGTGAAATTTTAATCCAGTCAGTTTACATGTATCTCCATCATTGCAACAAAGAACAACACATTTGTGTCCCATTTTATCAAAATTTTAAATTCAGTATTTGGTTCAGAGATAGACAGTTCAATGAAAATATATAACTGGCTTCGATGTACATTTACATGTATTCTGTACAGAATTTTTTTTTTTTTTTCCCAAAATTATATATTTTTTTTAAAGATGTGCCATGGCCGTGTAAATTTTGAAATTGTCTTGAATTCTTTTGTGGAACCACAGGTCACCTCTCTAACTCTAATGCTCTATTTCCTGGCATTTTACACCTAAACAGATGTTATCTATTAATTGTTTGAAGTAAATTAACACAAAACATATAAATCAGCTTCATACAGTAATGCATCTTGTTTTAAGCTTTTACATACTGCGGTCGACTGGACCGTGTGCGAGGTTGACATATTCGTCTGCTACAGCGCAGTATATATCGTCGTTAAAACAACAAAAAATAATTTAGACGTGATTTAAAGTCAGTAATTTGTTACGAATGCTATGCACAACTTAAAACAATAGTGGCACTCAAGAATATGTTTTCTATAAAGAGAAAAAGACTAAAAACCTCTTTTTCCCTAGCATTTACCATGTTAATACTCGACCAGTCTTCCAGAGCTAAAAATAGACACCGGAAATACGTCACACGTGCATGTAATAGCTCCTACATGTACATGTATAAGCTTAAAGGGGCTAAATCACTAATATTTGGGACCACACAAATGGGTCGCAATGCATATAATAATATTAAACTGATTTACATTCAAACGTTTCCGTTTTTACTGTAGTTATGTTCGGCGAAATACGCCAGAAGTCTCAATCGAATGGCAATCTCTAGCATCTGGTTATTTCAGTCTACACCTATAGTATTTATTTTGCATGCTCTCCAGATAAGAACATAGCGTCACCGTTTGACATGACTTGTGGAATATGCCTAGCCTCGTTTTTCGAGTCCCTTATTATAAATGGCACTGAAATGCTTTGTGGTACACGATTCGTGTACCAATTGTAAAATGTATATTTTGTCTTAAATATTGGATATCAGAAGCCCATCTTTTCTCGGTAAGATCACAATATCATTGTTGATTTAAATTGACAAATAATTCGTATTTTCAATGTCGAAGATTTTGGATGATATTGAGTTAGAGACTTACAAATGTAGCTACTTTAATTACATAATAATATATATTTGTGAAACGTCCATAATGACGCAATAATCATTCATTTGATTAAAATTTCATTATTAAATACTACCACCAGTGCCTGAATTAAAAAAATAAATAGCACCATTGGCGTTAGATTTTTTTTTCAAAGAACCATGGTCATTTTGAAGTTATTCTGAAATTCACAAGTTCAACCATTTGGTTTCCTATAGCAAACAAACAAAAAATCTTTATCTTTTATATACATGTTGATGTACATGAGTATGATGTACATCAGTATGTAGTATAGATTTTACACTTGACTTGTACTATTCCATCTACTTTTGTTAATAAATAATGACACTGCAGGGTTAAGATATACATGGGTGTTCTCGGCATAAGTGGATTAAAGATGGGTTCCCGCGTACAAACTGGGTGATTTAATGGTATATATGGACCAAAAACATATTCAAACTAATGAATTTGTCATAATTATGCTTCAAATCCTTCTCAAACATTGTAATTGCGAAGGAATGCCCTGCTATTAAAATTTGATCAAACCAGGTCATGTTTACGTCATGTCTTGGGAGTCAGAGGAGAATTCATTGCATACATAAGACGATGTTGTCTTTAATCGCTTACTATTTATTACAAATATCGAATCCTAATTAAATTCTCGGATTATCCACAACCCGCGTCTTTTTCCGTCATTTTTATCCCAGAAAGTATTGTACGTCTAACTCTTCATAAAGTTTATCAACTTGTACATCAAGCGCTCAATGTTCGCTTGTGACCTTTGACATCACGCGTGCAGAAGTTCCTAATCGTCAGGCTGTTGATTAGGGGAACCCTTACATTTTTGTCCTGTATACGCTCCATGAATGTTTTTCGGGGAATCCAGTATTTTTCTTGTAAGATTGGATATCTCTACTTTCCATATATACCAAATTGCTATACTTTTATTGGAAATAACCACCCGATAAATACTTTTCTGGGAACCCATCTTTAATCACTGATTATTTTAGTTGTCTCCCATTGTGTGAAAAGTTATCAGATTACCGAATAAAAATATTGAAATTGCATTATGTCAGGGAATATGATAAGAAAAAATAATTGATTAACAATTATTGGATGTTGTTAATAAGAAAAATGTGCTATTCAATCTGAAAATTGATTAGCAGTTCCATTTCCTCTTGATTGAATATCAAATAAGTAACTTTTCACTGTGTTGTATTGAATGATGTACATGTATAAAGGCCATAATATCTACCGGTCCTAGTATGTATAACTGAAGAGTTGTTATTTATTTTTATGCTTTGCAAATTGTGGTTCTGAAATTGTGTGTTTACAAATAATATCAGACTTGAAGGAGCTAAATCTCTATTCTTTGGCAACTAGAAATGGACACAAATGGGTTGCAATCGCAATGCATATAATAATGTATGAATGTATATAAACTGATTTGTACATTCGATCGTTTTTGGTTTTACTGTAATTTCTTATCAGTTATGTTTGGTGAAATACGCGCGTCCAAATGAATGGCAATCATTGGCGTCTGGTTATTCCAGTCTACAGTGAGGAGGATTCTCCTGTGGAATATGTTTAGCTTTGTTCATTGAGTCATTTCATTACAAATGGTGCTTGAAAGCATTCTGGCATGTGTGCCAATTTAAAATTTTCATTTTGTCTTAAATATTGGATATCAGAAGCCTATCTTTTCACAGAAAGATAACATCAAATCATCAATGTTGACCAATAAGTTGTGTTTACAATGTCGA